ATAATCAATACTTAATGCATTGCGCTTTCGTCGGCTCGTCAATGTGATAAACATAACCGGCAAAATGGCCTCGTACGCTTTGCGGACGTACTGCTCAAATGGTTCATTGTACCTTGCTAATTTTCGTGGTTCCGCCGTCAACCGTGACATCCACATGTGCAGGAACAGTACAACTTTGAAAATTCGAAAGGTGAAAGCTGGATTCGGAAGTATAAAGAGAGAATTATCTTGTACTGCCCCTTAGCATTATTATTGAGATTTTCACATTCATAAACGAAAAAGTACCTGAAAGAGAAAGAGAGGCACAGTAAATTATAATAGAAAAAAAAGTGGAGCAAAACTAGCACGAGGAGAAGCTCAAAGGACTCTGAGCAGATCACGATAATGAAGAGCAGATGCCCAAGCCCAACGGGAGACAGAAACCCAAGGGCGGGAAGCAGAACGAGACGGCAAGGCAAGGCGAAAGGAATCGTTGGAAAAATGCTTTGTCGTACCACTTCGCTACCTCGTGGTGGGCATTTGAATTTGGGGCGTCTTCGTCCGACTTAAAAATGATCTTCAACGCAGTGGCGCAAGTTGGCCAGGCTTAAGGTATTTTCAAGCCTCGAATCATTGTGGAGATTTGCGAGCGGTCCCGTGTATAAGCCGACCGCTGGTGACCACAAGGGTGTTCAAGAGCGAATGTTCCTTGTCGGCGGATGAAGTGCGAATTATGTAATATAGAGGAGAAAGAAGTCTGAACTGAGCGAGGCGGAAGGACTCCCTTTTCTTCGCTATGATACTGTTGCCGCGAATTTTACTGTTCATTAAACGGTTCACGCCATGGTGGTTACTCTGAATGGGCCACATGTCTAGAGCAGCAAGAGAGGACATGAAAAGGAATCTACCTTCCGCCGGACGAACTTATTTTTTTCGTTTACGCGTGCAAAGATTCTCGATTCAACTTAGCGAAAGTACACTCTATTTCTTTAGCAGACACGCTAGGCAGATAACCACTGCGGCTATTTATTTTTATGCTCTAACTGAGATTACATTTATAAAATATTTTGATTGAGCATACGGACCGTCTCTGAGTCATTTGGATATAACTGGAATTCGGCGTAGTCGACGCTCGCGTTCTTTAGAATCCAGTTTCTTAGGCGGCAATATTTTGCTAATAAATAAAGCTAGCACATTGCATCCGCTGTGGCGCGATGGCGACGTATTTTTCTATCAAATTTAGAGGCACCTGATGGAGAAAGCGGGCAACGTTCGATTTCGCCTCATGCTGGGAGCCAGCAGTCTCAAGCAATGCTTAACACACTGTATACAAAACTCGAAACGTTTCCCTTTAGAGGAAACGGTCACGACCAAAACGTATAGATTTGTCTGTTAATTATACAGCTAAGGTAGCCTGCTTCGGGTATGTGCTACCACTCATTGACGAATAACTATGCCAATTGTTTGCCCAGCTCGAAATAGATTCACTCCAAACTCCGAATAGCCCCAACGATAAAAGGGCGAAAAGCCTCCTGTTATGAAAACCTGAAGCATAAGGGATGTTCACGCCCTTTCTAATAATCTCAAGTTTTCAAACAAGTCTACTTCCTGTCTACATTTATTTCATGTCCTTCCTTTTTGTGTGATCAAATTAAAGTTTCCGTATCGATTGTGCTAGTATGTGTATTCTTAAAAATAAGGCACTTGCACGATTCGCTCTTTGATGTTCCAGTGATGTTGTCCTAAGGCAAACATGACAATATGCTCGTATTTTCGGTAGTGAGCTGATTTCGACTAATCACTGACGCTAATCCTGTGCTATTCGTAGAAAACAAGCTATTCACTACGAACGAAAAGCAGCGATTCAACGTTTTTTAGATAGTAGACAAGGTATCACGACGCACGATAAACCTCACGTTTGTGTAAGAATAACAGTATGTGCCATATATTACGGATAATACTTTATCACATGATACTCATCCTAGACCAAGGAGAACATACGAAAACATAAGACGCTTCTCACAAAATAGACGCGCTAATGTTAAATGTTGCGTTTCTGAGTGTGTGGTACTCTTCGAATCGCGGCCTAAGCAAAAAAACGCAGAACAGCGGAAACAAGCCCGGAACAGTGCACTGTAAAATGGAAGGAATGCAGGGGGATTCGTTGGCCGACTGGACAGAAGGTGAAAGCTCGCTGGCCCTCCGATTCGGTAGTGGACGTCGTCGCTATCATTGCTGCCGTGTTCGCCCCCCTCCAGTTTATGTGATACTGTCTGTATGTATAATTCGTCCAGTGTGTTTTCTTCAGCGGTTCGTTCATACATATTAATGAAGCTGCAAAACGACTTCTATACTTAACACAAACGCTGACACTTTCACGGGACGACAGAAAAGGGACCGAGCGAGCGGGTACAGTTCCATGCACTACTGCTACATCTGCTGTTAATCGTGTTCAGTCGTCGTACCGCTAATTGTCTTTACCATCTAACGGTAGAAAACAATCTTCTCAGACGTCGCGATACCAATACGTAGGTTAAAATCTACCAGGCAGCTCTCCAGCGTGTGCTGCTATGCGACGGGCGTTTAGGTATCATCCAAACGTTGCAGGACTCGAATACACGAAACCATCCCATAGATAGCCCATACGAAAGTATGTGATTCAACTTCTTTGTACACGGACGGTCTGTCGGTATCTGCACCGTCTGCTCTGTAGACGCTTCTCAATACTGTAATGTAGTTTCTAGCTTACCTCTCGACATGTACTACACATTGCTTACCTCGTGTGTTATTACAATGTTTCTATTGCTTACAGACGAAACACATGCGCTTACCTATGATTTGCTTGCGTGCGTGTGTGTGTATAAATATTTATCTATGTGTAATAATAGTAGTAATACACTCCATGCGCTGCGCCGTCTCTGTAATCCTGACGAAGATGAAGAATTGTTGTCGTAGGGCGTTGAACAGCTTATCTATTACGTGTGTGTACAGGTATAATATAGTTACTATGTCTCAGCCGGTTTGTGTTATGCTCGCGTTGGCGCCGACAGAATAGAAGCAAAGTATCGTCGGACATGTTGTTTTTGTATGGCTCCATCTATTTTTTGTCTGTGTTTTAATTTGACGTCTTATTCTATGAGTTCGTATAAAGATTTGAGAAAAAAATCCTGCAGTTGCTCTCCTGGTAGGTGTTGGATTTGATCCTCGTGCGAGCTGTATCGCTGATATAGGCCCAGTCATGGACAACGGAGTAATGGGAAGCATTTTTTGTTATCTGCTGTGAAATGGAGAGGTTTTCATCTGTTCTGCCCTACGAATAAGTTACCCCTTAAACCCTCTCTACGTTGAATTTTACCCAATATGCTCATTTGATTTGGCAGACTTTGTAATTTTTAGGCTTTGTTCTCAATCAAACCACGTGTCGATAAAGATTGCGACGAATTAGGTCATCGACACATGGTCCCAGTTACCGTGAGAAGCGCTAAAATGTCGGAAACTCCGGTGCGTTTTAAAAAAAGAAGTACTATTTTGGCTAAATCCGATCTATATGCCCTTACAGCAATGTGAGACTCTGTGATGCATCTAAAATTTATTTTTTTCAAAGCTTATAATAAGATGGTCGCGCACGGACTTAATCTCCTAGCATTATTTAGGCCAGATTCATGCAATGTGCACACAAGGTATTGTATGCCGTATGATTCAATAAAGATGAGTTTTGTAAAAAAGATCCGTACGCACTGCGAATGATCCCCAGTAAGGACTTTCTTCATCAAACATGCTAACACATGTTCGTGTGTATTTCACCTTATGTAAACAGCGTTTCGGAGATCTGATTTCTGTCAGAAGAGAGGGGGTAAAATGATATATCAAATGACTCGTTCCCTACTACGGTGAACCTCGCCAAAGGACCAAAAAGGACTACAATTAAATTTCCTTCTCGTTTGATGGCCAAATTAAACAAGACTGTCATTGTGTTCAAGAGAAATAACTGAACTCTTAAGCTCACACAATCCTCGACATCTTTGTGCAGCGGAGATTAATCTATTCTGAGCAAAACTAGTTAGATCTTTTCAAATCAGTATCATACAACAGAAGCAAATAGCGGGACAGAAGTTTTGATAAATGTTTGAAGAAAAAACTAGCAAGCAGTGAATAATTGTGGTAACTTATTGTTGGCCGCTTCTTAACCAAATATTAACAGTCTCCAAGTGATACCTGAAGGACTGACTTATCCGAGTAGGTGATATTAATGGAAATCTATTCTACCGAGCAGGAGATTGTCAATGTATGTTTCTCGCTGTCATAGTCTAGTGATATTTTTCTTTTAAAGAAGCTATTTTTCAGGGTGGCTAGCTAGCCACACTTCTCCGAACTGATCTTCTGGTCAAAGTTCCGTTTCGTTTACGAGGCCGGCATTTCTAATTATGCGGAACAAAAAGCGTGCAAATCGCCAGTGATCAATGTCGTATCCGCAACAGCTTTTCAATAGATTCTGGGGTAAGTGGATGCGCAAGATGTATGCGGGCATGGTAAACACATGGACGCACGTGACGTTTATGAATTTTCATGAAGAACTACCGCTTTATCGAGGATGTCGGCATTTATTTATTTTTCTTAGCGATAATGACAATTTGGCGGACGTCAAGCTCTTACAACTAGGCTGCTTATCTAATTATACATTTGTGTAAATGCAGTAAGCCCTCTGTAAATATTTATAGTCTGTAGTCGCGAACAACACGCCCTTACTGCAGGAAAAAGGGAAGATTAACGTGCTGGTAATTTTGCTAAGGCCATTCGAAAAATTCTACTATATATCTTTTAGGCGAATGTTGCTGATACCAAACTGCTTTCTATGCATCACTATATGCACAGCAAAACGATATACAAATAAATTGATAATAATTAGATTTAAAATGTACCCCGAAAATTTTCTTCACACAGTTTATACAATTATAAATATGGCGCGTATAATTTTAGAAGTCTTCGTATGCTTTGTTTCTATGGTTGTATCTAATCAAAAACGAATATTTCAACCGAATCTTCTTGCATCCGCCAGAAGTGCCGTTTAGCGACGGTCAAGGGTGCTCAATATGGTGACGATTCGTCACGATTACAGCTTCGACTCAGAATTGCCGACCGGTAAGAAGCTCCTTTAAAAAATACTCCTTTTTTAATCCACAAATTACATTTTGGCAACGAGCATATGTCAGGTGAAATTCGCTCCATCGTTCTGCGTAGAAGAAATAAATCTTGGTTGATGGCAGGCCACGAGTCTCAGAAAAAATGCAAAAAAAGTTAAAAGGTGCAAAAGGCCAATTTGCCATTGATATTCTTTTCTCTAAAACAGCCGTTAAATGCCATATTAAAAATAGCTTTTTAAGCCATTTTTACGAATATACTCTCTCAAATCGGCTTACTAGGATTAATTCATTTTGGAAGAAATATTAACCTTGGTCGTTGGTCTATATAATCCCGCAGAACAGGATTATATGGTCCAGACATGGGTCTATATTATTATTTCATGCTAAGAAGTGTCAGTAAAATTAATTGATTGATTGGTGAATTTGCTTTCTAGAACGGGCTGTGACTATGGCTAGGAGAGACGTTTCAAGAGACGACTAGAAGAACCATTTACTCTCAAGTAAGGTTCGCCGAAAATTTGACTTTGTCTAGCGTAGGTCCACATGCAGGTCCCTTGCGAAGTATGAAGCTAAGCCTGAATCGCTCAGGTATTGGCATACAAAGCTGCAATTTATTCGAAAAGTGAAGAGGCATTGTTGCGAACTTCACATCAACATCAAAGCCTGTGTGGCTATTGTGATCTTGCATAATTTTAGTATAGATAACTGTGCTTGCTTAATTCTAACTCATGATCGTGTTGGTTGTCATGTGTTGACTCGTTCCTTAGAACGATACGCTATGCCAACAGCGTCGTCCGACTTTTTCTAACCACATGTGACGCGCTATTGACGACAACGACATGTGGTACAATGGGTACGAAAGTATGATGCTGTAATTTAACTTGACACATATATGCATTCGAACTAAGTTAAGCTGTAGTCTGAGGCCACTTATATCTTGCAGCTTCTTGGTAAAATTAGCATAGACAATATCGGGTCTCGAATAACTTGAAATGTCGTGATCTATATAACCTCAACTTCACTCTGTCCCGTATTGTCCTCAGAACGATGATGTAAATATGACTCGATATAAAAACTTTTATAAAACGTAACTTGCTCTGAATCTGCTATTGAAGAGGTGCTTTTTGGGATAGGGAAAATGACAGACGAGCTGGTTATCTCGCTGCTCTATTGTCAAATAAAGGTTCAGTCAAATTGGAAAAAAAATTCGTTGTGTGAACATATATATACATATATATATATATATATATATATATATAATGTCTGTTCCCTTGTAGGCTGTCACAAATCACAAAACACGGTTCTTTGCAGCCTATGGCACTACCGAGCTTTCTCCCATATCATCTCTTCGCTGTGACGATACGTTTCTCACCTTAGATTCATTGGAGTTTCGGAGACAGACGGAGTAACAGATGGACAGAACAGACGAACGGACACGTCGGAGATTGGGTGTATCCGAGGGATTTCCTTTCTCAAGCTCGCAAATGTTATGGTATTCTGTGCATGTTTATGGGAGTGTATATTCAATCGTATATCTTTGTACGGACACCATCGTTTCTACATAGCGTTACGGCCACCGGCGTACTGCTATATTGTAAATTTGTTCAATGTATTGTCACATATTCTTATGCTGGGTCGCGTCGGACTCTCTGGCACGTTATCGTATCGCATCACGCTTCTTGACGATGATGATGCCTCCCCGTTGGGATGCGCGGAACGTGCTGCAGACGCGGAAGCCACCGATCCTACCAGTACAGGAGCCTACAGTCGGCATCCGGCAGAGACGCCCAGCGGCGACGCTATTGTGTCGTAAGTCAGTAGTTGATTCGGCTACTTGACGGTAACGTCGCGCCATTGATTGAAGCCGTCTCTCTGCCTAACTGCCACAGCCATTTCTTTGCAACGCTACCGGCTGCCGCGGGGATATGAGTACTATGACGTACATACACAGTGAAAAGGAGTTCCTCGGATCGAACGCAATTGGCAGACTAACATGCACCGTGTTACATACAATGAAGCTGGCATAACTAATTAAAAAACGTTTTTTGACTTGTTTTTTCGTAGCGAAAAGAAAGTTTTTTCTCCCTTTTTTTGGTGCTCCTGACGAGAGTTAATGGATGCAGTGTATTGAAGGGAATATTAATATCTAAATAAAAAGGTGTTTTAAGGATGGAAGTTACGTCGGACTTTAATATAATATAAATAGCCGGATAGGCTATTTATGATTAGACTTAACATTTTTCTCCTACTGCTATTTATTGAGCAGTGGATAACCAGTGTATGGCGTCGCTGTGTGGCTACGTAAAAATGTCTTAACGTATGTCATTTTAATCCTGATAAGGCACTCTAATTAATGCGAACGGAACACTTCACAACGTACTGAGGTCTTAGCTCATTTAGCAGCTAAACCAGCTGCCGGCCTCATGGAGCGGGTCGACATTGGAATTTTGTATTTGGTACATTTAATTTTATACCTAAAAGTCGATCTGTGCATGCTTAATAAGCAGAGTTTTTCAGGGGGTCCGGATAGCCTCCGGTGCCTTCATAAATTGCTCAATAGACCACCCCTGAAGATTCGTCTGATACATTACTCAGTGAAAAGCTGAGTTGTTCCCTTTCTTCTTTGAGGAACTGACGCTTATATGCAAACGCTTCTGCTCTATAGCAATGTCTACGTTTTAACGATTCTATCGAAAACTCCGTACGCCTCAAATAATTCACGACATGTATGAATTTAAAAATGCCGTACTTTTGCTTATTACACCTATTCTATTCTATTCTCTCTCTATTACAAAGCTTCTCCCTAGATTAGCACTTCCACACATGTAAGAAGTCGATTTTTCTTAGTATAGTTTTAATATTAAAATGTGCTTTTCGATAAAATAGCTCTTAAGTTAACACCTGAGATGGTGCTATGTCATACAGGTATCTTTCAATTAAATAACCTATATTATCTAGAATTGAATAGGTAACAATTGCCGATCATGCTCCTAAATTCAGGAATGTTCATTTTACACTGAAATGTTCGTTTATATATGAAAGGCAAGCAATCCTACGTGTTGACCACAAACAAAACGTTTTTGTCAATGGTTCGGTGTTTCTCCAAACGCTGATCATCCTTATATAAAGCTTAATTTTGTTGGTGTTTTTTTTTACAGTTTAAATTTTATTAATCATGTACAGCCTTTGCCGGCAATAGATTCCAAGATGCAAACGACATTGAAATATCTAATGCTTGGTAAATTATCAACCATGTCTGTTATTACAGTAACGTTAGTTCGGTTTAATGTTAGTTGGGCAAATGGGTATTTGTAGTTTTTTTTTGGCTGTATTTCAAATAAAATCGCGAAATCAGGACCAACTGCATTTGTTTTGAGCTACGTTTATTTATCATTATCACTAGACTTAAGACTTTTATTGCTAAAAATGGATCGATCGACCAAACGTCAATTGAACATGCCCTCCAGCGGGTACGACATTCATTATTAGTAGACTATTGCCTTTTTTTACGTTGCAACTGTCGTAGGATCTGTGTCTAGCAGGTATATTTTGGGCAAGTACGACATTCTCCGGGATCTGATTATCCTCATATTACGCATAACATTTTCCGTAGACTCTTTCTGCTGTCAGGTTTTTTTTGTCTACGTTCTAACACTTCATAATATGACGTACTAGGCTGGACAATAATATCGTACATATCCATTGGCATCCACTTTAAAAATTGTCCTATTACAATATAAATTTTTGTACACCCCCTACCCCTGAGCTACTAACCGCGCGCGATCGGTACCTTTAAATTTTCTCTGCTTAATTTAATGGCACGCTTCATCCGACTCGAAATTCTTTAACGGCAAACATCGAACCAAGCGTCAAATTATTCTGTCGTCTGCTTTTCTTTTTTTTTTTTTTTTTCTATGTAACCCCGTAGAACATCACGGCAAAGTGTGATTCCTCGATAGCGTGTTTGCCTTTCATGTGGGATTCGCGTATAACAACACTCATTTTGTTAAGTCAATCCAACGGTCAATGGATAACTCTACAGTGGACCAGTCGGAACGTCAGACGTGGTTATTGCTGCAAAGCTTTGTCACTTAACGTATATGCGCATCCCAACGGCTCTTTTGTGATTAGCGGCGTCACGCCTTTCGCAGTCGCAGGACAGTTTCTATAGGCACGTGACACGCATAGAGTTATTCAATATTATGATTACAGCTTTTTCTTCCACTGGTAACGCTGCCTTTATCATCACTGTGGGCAGTGCTGGCAGTAGTATTCGAATCGCTACCCAGAATGTACCCATATATGCTGGTCGGTCAACAATTGCGTTCTGAGGCCGCCGCGGCATATCTCTTCGACCCGTCCGGTTCAGTTTGGTCTGTTCCGGCGTCATCTAACATCTAAAAGCCTGCCGATCCTCAGCTTTAAGAAGCATTGCTAAAACGAAGCTCTTAGCACTTCGCAGCGTCGAAAGCCTCGTGATTTCTCGAACTTCTCCTTATTATTCGTGCCACCTTTCATTTCTTTGCTATTGTGTCTGTCTTTGACTCCGATTCTGCTTCAGTCTCGATTTAAGCTTTTTTCGCATTTACGTCTACAGCGAACAAAAAAGGATCGAGCGACAGAAACAGAAGAAGCCTAAGCGGGAACATAAATGTGCGCCATAGATAAATTGGCAAAACGATCCAATCCGCCTCTTTGCCTGCCCAACCCAAATGTTTTGCTGCTTCGTACTTCTGTGCCGTTTGTTGTCATCCCACTCTAGGTCGAATTAACGCAAATCGAATTTCCTTTGGTCCTATCACGTTATGTTGTTGGCCTCGTTCATCCGAGTACCTGACCTACCTGATTCATACTTCGATAAGAAAGGCAGGAAGGTCAATTCATAGTCGACGCTACCTTTCGGTAGAGGACGCAGTCCAGTCATATCTTTGTATAGCACAGACACGCATTCTATCACAACAGTTTACACTAACATCGTTTGTATGCAACCTGTAATAGGTTAGCGGCTATATGAAATACTACAACCAGTGAATCTTCAGCCTGGCAATCGAAATGTATTTTACGTGTATAAATTAATTTAACATGCAAATAAAATAATTAAACTCAGGCAATGCAATAGCATGCCTTTGTGGTTAATTTTTTGTCTAGCTTTTAGGATCATAGAAGCGAGCACGCACACCTGTCATAGTCTGACGGAGCCTACCGAATTTTATTTCAACATTTCCGAAAATTTCTTGCCTCTTGTCAAAGGATGGCAAAATCAATAGCGCCGAATCACGATGGGGCACTAACTGTTTGACACTGAACGAAAGCTTTGTGGCAGAGACAACAATCACGATTAGAAGCTGAAGGAATCAGCTACTTTTCTCCGGTGCGTTCAGCCCTCACAGGCTTCCGCCACCTGACGCCTATCGACCAACTTCGGTTAAGAGCTATCCAGGTAACTGGTCCAGCCAAATCCGCCTTGAATCGCTCGTCCGTTGTTGGTAGCGGAGGCGAAGACAGACTTGGTGATGAATCATCGTAAATATATGCTATTTCTCGCGTGATGAGATGAACGAGCTGAACGCTGATGCTAGATCGTTTAGCGTTGCAGTATCGTTTCAGCGTTTTGCCCATTATTAAGCGTACGTATAGACGCGAACGAAACGATGAGCTGAACAAGCGCGTCGCAAAGAGTGACAATCGTCCACTTCGCTGTATGATGGCGTGGCAACATCTTGAAAAAGACCAACAACAGAAAGGCACCAAGAATATCATACTTAGTCCTCGTTTTTCGAGGACAAAGCCGATGGACACAATGATGAATCCAGGGTACGTGCGGTACGGTGGAGCCAGTTAGTAAAATTTCGACCTTTCTGTATACTCGATATAGCATAGTGCAGAATGGTTAAACGTTTTTGCGTTGATGTCGCGGATCGTTCTGTCTGTTGCAGAAATTATTACAGAAAAATATGATGACGCTAACGTTTACTCCATTCGACATCGGCTGATGAAAAAAGTTCAGACGGTTTGTATGCACTCATATACGAATGGCCATATCAACGCATACATTCGTAAACAAACGGTATGGGTTCGTTCTTCAGTCAATGCCCTATTCGACAACAGTAACAATGAGCGGGCGTTATATGGTGAATTTTCACTGCCCAAACACTTCCCGATGTTACGTCTTCACCATGTTTTCTACATCAAATAGCTTCTGCTTTCCTCTTCACGTCTCCACAGTGGCTGTTAGATCCTTTCTTTGTCAGTTCTTCTATATCAATGTTAATCGTTGCCTAATTTCGGCTTCGCTCTCAACCTAGAGCAGGTGGCGCCCATTGTAGCCTCTGCTACCTTTAGGATGCCAGATGTTGCATAGTTTACAGCTAATAATATTTAGAGTTCGGCATTTCTTCTACACATAAAAGTATCTACACGTATGAGGTTTCAGTTGAGACGATTTCTTTAGCGATGGCAGCGGCAAGATCGCCATAATTTGCTACGAAAGTCTTTAGACAGGCTTTCTGTAAGAACTACTGTTCCTCGACTGAAAACAAGATATTGATTTGAGGAAATCTTTATTGTCACTTCAACAGATATTCATATGCTGCGCAGGTCGTTAAAAAATTGGCTACCAGCTTTTGTGCAAGGAAGTCTATTGCACTTATTCGTCCTCAAGACAAACGATTTATCGGACACAATTTACCAAATACACAGCTTTTCTTCACAGTATCGTCACGAACACATACAGATCTTCACTGAACATGTTTGCATACATAGAATGCAGTATAACTGCTTGATCGTATGAGTTTTATAGACAAAATATTATGTTAGATAACTGTGTGCATAGCTTCTGGACTTACAAGGCTGTCTAATCTCTGGGCTTTCGTCACAGGAAGGTTCCAAATCTGTAGATTTAATTTATTGTGGTAACAATCATCAACCATCTCCTACCTTTTTTAAGTACTGAAAAATAATGCTTTGAGCGCTTATTTAGTATTTCATTTTGTTAACTTTATTGTTCGCATGATTATTGCAGTAAGACACACACACACACACATATATATATCGTGTTAGTCTAATTTCTTTAATTAAAACCTGATAGCATTACGATACGTTGCTTTACTTTTATCATCGATTGTTTGCTTGC